GGTACAAGTGATTTTCTTGGATTAGCTGGGATTTCAAGTATGCGCCACCACGCTGGGCTAATTTTGCATTTTTAGTAGAAGCGGGGTTTCACTGTATTGGTCAGGCTGGTCTCGAACTCCCGACCTCAGGTGATCCGCCGGCCTTGGCCTCCCAAAATGCTGGGATTACAGGCCTGAGCCACCGTGCTGGTCTGATTATTACTTCTTTATCTAACTGTGTCTAAGTTGTTGTTAATCCCAACCATTGAGTTTTTAATTTCATTGACTAGAATGTTTATTTTTAAACGTTTGATGTGGTTCTTTTTCCAGTCTACTCTGTAGTTTTGAGAATATCTTGTTCTTTCCCATATTTGCAATACCTTATTTAGGTCAATAGTCATTTAAACATAATCTCTTCAGAGATTTTCAGCCTGGGACCACTGTTTATTTTTAGGCATTGGCTGAAGTTTACTAAGTGACATAAAATTCAGATTTCAAATCTTTTAAAGGGCAGGCCCTTGGTTACAAAATCTTAGGAAAGATAATTAGTTTTTATAATTTGGAATTTAGGCTAAGACAGAGAATCTTTTTTTTTTTTTTTTGAGATGGAGTCTATCTTGGCTCACTGCAACCTCTGCCTCCCGGGTTCAAGTCATCTCCTGCCTCAGTCTCCCAAGTAGCTGGGATTACAGGCATGTGCCACCATGCCATGCTCATTTTTGTATTTTTAGTAGAGATGGGATTTTGCCATGTTGGTCAGTATGGTCTTGAACCCCTGACTTCAAGTGATCCGCCTGCCTTGGCCTCCCAAAGTGCTGGGGTTACAGGCATGAGCCACTTTTCCTGGCCCAGAGAATGCCCAGCCCAGAGGATCTTCACTGTCAGATTTTGTCAGTATTCTACCGGTTCTCTGAGGTTTAGGTGTAGTTCCCAGTTTCAGCTTATCTGCATCTCTCAGGTCTAAGGTCTTATCTCTGAGCAGCCATTAAAACCCAGTTGTGGATGGGCATGGTGGCTCACTCCATGGGAGGCCAAGGAGGGAGAATTGCTTAAGTCTGGAAGATCAAGACCAGCCTAGGCAACATAGTGAGATCTCTACAATCAATATATAATCTCTAAACAAGTAATTAGCCAGGCATGGTGGTGCATGGCTGGAGTCCCAGCTACTCCGGAGGCTGAGGCAGGAGAATCTCTTGAACTCATGAGTTCAGTGCCGTAGTGAGCTCTGATCTTGCCAGTGCTCTTCAGCCTGGGCAACAGAGCAAGACTCTGTCTCTAAAAAATAAAAAATATGTAAAAATTTAAAATGATAAAAAATAAAAAAACCCAGCTTCCTCATTACTAAGGGAGTTTTGTCCCCTCCCTCTATTTTGTCACTTGTTTCTAAATTTATTTATAGGGTAAAAGTTTTAAAATCACCTTATCTACTAAATTGCCAGAAATTCAAGTTAACTCTTTTAAAAAGTTTGTTTTGGGCCGGGTGCAGTGGCTCACGCACGCCTTTACGTAATTTCAGCACTTTGGGAGGTTGAGGTGGGTGGATCACCAGAGGTCAGGAGTTGGAAACCAGCCTGGCCACCATGGTGAAACCCTGTCTCTATCAAAAATACAAAAATCAGCTGGGCATAGTGGTGGGTGCCTGTAATGCCAGCTACTCAGGAGGCTGAGGTGGGAGAATGGCTCGAACCCGGGGGCAGAGGTTACAGTGAGCCAAGACTGCACCACTGCACGCCAGCCTGAGAGCAACACTCCATCCTCCCACACACACAAAAAGTTTGTTTTTTGTTTTAAAGTATGGAATAATATTTCTATGTTCAGGGTAGAATCAAGACCAGAATTTTTGATAGAAAATAAGCTAGTTTATTCCCGATCAAGTGACTCTGCCTCCAGACAAACTGTCATGAAAACTTACCTTTTTAATGGCCACAGAGACAACAGGTGACACTTGTTACACTAAAAAGGACAGAGACCCTGAAGGGCTGAGAATGAGACCCCTCTGCGCTTTGGCCTCACTTCGAGACTCTGGGCCCATCCTTAGGCCCCTGGGCCTCAGTGCCCTTTTCATTCAGTATACTGAAGGAGCCAAGTTAGGTTTCCATGGGGGTTTCGCTTTTTTTTTTTTGAGACGGAGTCTCCCTCTGTCACCCAGGCTGGAGTGCAGTGGTGCCATCTTGGCTCACTGCAACCTCTGCCTCCCAAGTTCAAGCCATTCTCTTGCCTCAGCCTTTCGAGTAGCTGGGACTACAGGCACCTGCCACCACACCTGGTAATTTTAGTAGAGACAGGTTTCACCATGTTGGCCAGGCTGATCTCAAACTCCTGACCTTAGGTGATCCACCTGCCTTAGCCTCCCAAAGTGCTGTGATTACAGGGGTGAGCCACCGTGCCCTGCCGGTTTCTGCTTTAAGTGTTAGTGGCTCGGACCTCTTCCCTACTGCATGTCTGTGCCTGGCCAAGCTCCTTGCGACCTCCCTCTCCTCCTGGGATGTGCCTCCCACACTCAGCCCCTCCCTTCCCTTGACCCTCACCCCCATCCTCACAGCGCCTCTCTGTGAAGGACCTTGTCCTTCTCACAGGCCATGGGTGGGAGAGGAGGGGTGTGAGGGTGTGGAGGAATGATGAGCAAGGAATGCTCTGGGAGGTCCCACTTCAGAGGGTCCGAGGTGGAAGTTGTGGAACTCAGGGGTTTAGACCCGAACACTGGGTTTGGACTGCTGAACTGCATTGCTCCTCATGGCTAATGGGGGAGCCGTGTGTGATGGGGTGAGGTCCTCCTTTGCAAGTGGACTCAGTGGCTGGGATGGGGAGAAGCAGGGGGCTCTGGGAGAGGTGTGGGAGGTACGTGGTTCCCACCTGGTACTCATATAACCCCAAACTGCCTTAAGATTACTAGTATATCCTGCTCCTTCACAACGCCCCGAGAACTGGAAGCTTACAGCTTGGATGGTTGGAGCCAAGAGGTCACTGGATTTGTCTCATGTGAGGGGAAGGCGCAGTTGTGGCCACGAGCCTTGGGAGGCACCAGAAAGTCGGTCCTACCATTGCTCCAGCGTGCAAGGGCTGCCCAGACTAAATGTTTGTTTTAAAAGAGCCTGAGTCAGGAAGGGAACAGAATAGTGACCTGCATTATATTGTGTATGCATTTTTTAAATGTTTCATTGTGGTAAAGACCACAAATTTTACTATCCTAACCCTTCTAAGTATCCAGGTTGGTAGCGTTAAGTATGTTCACATTGCTGTGCAGCAGATCTCCAGAACTTTTTCATCTTGCAAAACTGAAACTCTATACCTCTCAAGTCACAACTCCCTATTTCTTTCTCCCAGCAGCCCCTGGTAACTACCGTTCTATTCTCTGTTTCTATTAGTTTGATCACTTAAAAAATTTTTTTTTGTTAAAATTGTTTTTAGTAGAGATGAAGTCTTGCTAACTCCCGGACTCAAATGACCCTCCTGCCTCAGCCTCCCTAAGTGCTAGGATTACAGGTGTGAGTCACTCCACCCTGCTGACTACTTTAATTTATTTAATTTTATTGAGACGAAGTCTTGCACTGTTGCCTGGGCTGGAGTGCAATGGTGCAATCTCGGCTCACTGCAATCTCCACCTCCTGGGTTCAAGTGATTCTCCTGCCTCAGCCTCCCAAGCAGCTGGGATTACAGGCACCTGCCACTATGCCCGGCTAATTTTTTGTATTTTTTAGTAAAGACAGGGTCTCACTATGTTGGCCAGGCTGGTCTCAAACTCCTGACCGCATGATCCACCCGCCTCAGCCTCCCAAAGTGCTGGGATTACAGGCATGAGCCACCACGCCCGGCCTACTTTATTTTTATTTTATTGTACTTATTTTGAGACAGAGCCTTGTTCTGGCACCCAGGTTGGAGTGCAGTGGTGCAATCATGGCTCACTGCAGCCTTGACCTCCCAGGCTCAAGTGATTTTCCTGCCTCACCCTCCAGAGTAGCTGGGACTACAGGTGCGAGCCAGCACACTGGGCTAATTTTTTTTTTAGTTAAGTTTTTGTAGTGATGGGGTTCCTTTATATTGCCTAGACTGCTCTGAAACTCCTGGGCTCAAGGGATCCTCCTGCCCCAGCCTCCCAAAGTGCTGGGATTACAGGCCTGAGCCACTGTGCCTAACCTAATCGACTGCTTTAGATACCTCATCAGTGGAACCTTGTATTGTTTCGGTAGTTTTCTAACTGGCTTATTTCACTCAGCATAATGTCCTCAAGGTCCATCTGTGCTGCAGCACGTGTCCGAGTTGCCTTCCTTTTTAAAGCTCATATTTTGCTGTAAGTAAGTGAACATTTTGTTCACTCGTTCATCCATTGGTGGGCACTTAGGTTCCTTCTACCTTTTGGCTCTTGTGAATAACACTGCCATGAGCATGAGTGTACAGATATCTCTTGGAGACCCTGCTTTCAGTTTGTTTGGATATATATACCCAGATGTTAGGTCATATGGTCTTGCTCTGTCACCCAGGCTGGAGTGCAGTGGCCAGATCTCGGCTTATTGCAAACTCCACCTCCCAGATCTGAGCGCTTCTGCTGCCTCAGCCTCCCAAGCTGGTCTCGAGCTCCAGACCTGAAGTGATCTGCCCACCTTGGCCTCTGACAGTGCTGGGATTGATTACAGGTGTGACCCACCGTGCCCCGCCTGCACCGTTTTGCATTCCCATCAACAGTACCCAGTATTTTGCATGCCTTCTGTCCAGTGTTGATTTCAAGTCAGCACATCCCTGGCACTGCATCCTTGTCTCCTACTTCTCAGCCCTAGTCTGGGTTCCTAGAGCTTTGATATCAGGGAGTTGCCTAGGTCGTTGTGCTCGTTTAACAGATGGGAAGATGAGGTCTCCAGAGGAGAAATGACCTCTCCCAGACCCCAGGCCTGATTCACAGACCTTCCACTTCATGCTTTGCTTCCTGAGTGGCTGATTCAGGCTCTGGCACTCCCTAGAGTGCCTTCATCCCAGGGCCCCCACAGTCCTTCCACTTCTCACCGGCGCTGTGGTTCCTTTCCCCACAGGTCCAACGGGCGCTCCTCCAAGCGGAGCCTTGGAGGGCAAGGCCGGCACCATTACCTCCAACGAGTGGAGCTCTCCCAACTCCCCCGAGGGGAGCAACGTCTCTGGGAGCAGTCAGGCACTGGACAAGCCCATCGACAATGATGCAGAGGGCGTGTGGAGCCCGGACATCGAGCAGAGTTTCCAGGAGGCCCTGGCCATCTACCCGCCCTGCGGCCGGCGCAAAATCATCCTGTCAGATGAGGGCAAGATGTACGGTAAGGAGCCCATCAGGTTCAGCCCTGGACCTGAAGCTGAGGCAAGGGGCGGACACCCTAACCTTGGGGGTCCTGCCAGGCCACGGAGGGGGATGACCGCTTGGGGCTTCTTTGGTTGGACACTGCTTTCTTCCTTCCTGGGTTCCCAAGGGATGGGGGTATCTGAGGAGAAGCCTTTGAGGGGGCATGGAGGGTGAGGTCCCTGGGGGTGAGCAGCTGTGAGACGGAGAAACTTGGAAAGGGTGAGTTTGGGTGGGGTCGAACATCTCCCCAGAGCGGGTGGGGAGCACCCCAAAAGTTGTATCCCACAGGTGCCCGACCACCAGACCGCCCCCCTTGGCTGTGAAGGATGCTCACTCATCCTCTTTCACGCATTCACTCACTCCCTCATGCAGCAAACACATACTGAGCCTTCTGTGTGCCTGGTGTCGGTCAGGCAAGTCTAGTCCCAGCCCGTTGTCTGAGTCGTGGGGAATGTGAGCTCACAGATACCTGTTCTACAAGGCAGACTGGAGCGCTCCTAGGAGAGGCAGGGTGCTGGACACCACTCCCCTAGGAAAGGCCTCCCGCAACCCGGCAGAGGCTCACCAGAAACGGCTTGATCTTCGTGAGTGGCTTGGGTTGCAGAACACAAGAGAAACTGCAGTGCCACGTGGGAAGGACTGAGCAGTTGGCATAGGGCTGCCATGACTTTTGGATGGAAGAAGGGGCATCTGGAAAAATGAAGCAGGGGCTGGGCATAGTGGCTCACTCAAGCCTGTCATTCCAGCACTTTGGGAGGATGAGGTGGGAGGATCACTTGAGGCCAGCAGTTTGAAACCAGCCTGGGTAACAAAGCAGCACACCGTCTCTAGTATAAATTAAAAAAAAAAAAAAATAGCCGGCTGTGGTGGCGCTAGCCTGAAGTCCCAGTTGCTGGAGGGGCAGGGAGCTGAGGTGGAAAGATCGCCTGTGCCCAGGAGGTCAAGGCTGCAGTGAGCTGTGATCACACTGTTGCATTCCTGCCTGGGTGCCAGAGTAAGACCCTGTCTCAAAAAAAAAAAAAAGAGAAACGTGAAGCAAGAATAAAAACTGAACAGCTGTTGGAGGGCCCAGATCAGGCTTCTGTTGCCATTGGAAAGTCCTCTAGGAACCCCAGCTCAAAGCAGTGGTCTTGGACAGGAGTGAGAGCCCTGGATGGATCTCTAAATGGCTAAAGTCAGTGACGACAGGGGGCCCCTGCCTGGCTTCCAGCAAGACGGCCCAGACCAGCTGCCCACCCCCACGGCTTTCCATTCATTTCTCCCCCACCCCCACCACTGGTGCCACCCCCATCACTGTGGTTTTGCTCAGCTTCCCCAGAGTCTCCCTTACTTCTGGGTTGGCCCTCCTGACCACCCCTGCTCTGACCACTTCTTGCTCTGATGTTGCTTATTTTTTCTTTTTTTTGATATGGAGTCTTGCTCTGTCACCCAGGCTGGAGTGCAGTGGTGCAGTCTCGGCTCACTGCAGCCTCTTCTCCTGGGTTAAAGTGATGTTCTGCCTCAACCTCCCAAGTAGCTGGGTCTACAGGCATGTGCTACCGTGCCTGGCTGATTTTTATATTTTTAGTAGAGATAGGGTTTTGCCATGTTGGTCAGGCTGGTCTCGAACTCCTGACCTCAAAAGTCCACTTGCCTCTACCTCCCAAAGTGCTGGGATTACAGGTGTGAGGCACCATGCTAGGCCTATATTTTTTATTTTTTACAATTATGTATATTTTATATGCATAGCTTAAAATATAAAATTGTAGTACAAGGTTTAAAGCAGAAACAGAAGTCCTTGGGGCCTCTTCTGCTCGTTCCCAAGTGTAACTTCCTAGATGCCAACTCTTTCACCTCTTTCATCTTTCTTTTCTACCATTGCATCTGTGTTTCTTCTTTCTTTTTTCTTTACATCTGTATTTCTAAATAAAATATTTGAGTCTGTTTATAGTAGTTAAGATGAAGTTTGGCTTTAACAGACCCCAAATAATGCTTATGTGAGAGAAATTTCCTTCTCGCTCCTATAAATGTCTGGAGGGTGGGTAGTCCAGGGAAGGTATGGCAGCTTTGCTCCATGAAGCTCTCAGGGACCCAGGATGTGTCTGTCTTGTGGCTCATGAGCATGGCGTCCATTGTGAGTGTTCCCTTAAGGCCCAAGCAGCTGCTTCAGCTCCAGGAGTTAAATTGTAGCTAGCAGATGGGAGAATGAGATGAAGAAGAGTGACTTGGCTACATTTAAGGAAGACACTGGGAAGCTAACCCCTGACATATTTACTGGCCAAAACCTGGACTTAAGAGCAAGAGACATTGGAAAATCCAGCGATGCGCTGCCATAGCCTTCTATAGCTATGGGAAAGGGGTAACAATTGGAGGGGAGGGGCTGGCTGTCTTTGGCACTCTTAGTTTGTGATTTTGCAATTCTAGACATTCTCTGTTTACTTACCATGGAAATTTAGGATTGAGATCACTTATATCCCTCATATCCTATGTCTGTCTTACCACCCAAGCAGCCTTCATGCTTCTTCCCATAGTTTGGGTTTTTTTTTTTTTGAGACGGAGTCTCTTTCTGTCGCCAGGCTGGAGTGCAGTGGCACAGTCTTGGCTCACTGCAGCCTCCGCCTCCTGGGTTCAAGCAATTCTCCTGCCTCAGCCTCCTGAGTAGCTGGGATTACAGGCACGCGCCACCACGCCCAGCTCATTTTTGTATTTTTAGTCGAGACGGGGTTTCACCATGTTGGCCAGGCTGGTCTTGATCTCTTAATCTTGTGATCTGCCCGCCTCGGCTTCCCAAAGGTGTGAGCCACTGCACCTGGCCAAATTTTTTTTTTTTTTTTGGAGACATGGCCTCCTCCCAAGCTGGAGTGCAATGGCACAATCACAGCTCACTGCAGCCTTGACATCCTGGGCTCAAGCAATCCTCTTACCTCAGCCTCCTGAGTAGCTGGGACTACGTGCATGCGACCATCCCTGGCTAACTTTAAAATTTTTTATGGAGGCTGGGCGTGGTGACTCATACCTGTAATCGCAGCACTTTGGGAGGCTGAGGCAGGTGGATCACTTGAGGTCAGAAGGTGAGGAGACCAGCCTCGCCAACATGATGAAACTGCATCTCTACTAAAAATACACAAATTAGCCAGGTGTCAGGGTGGCCTGTGGCTGTAGTCCCAGCTGCTTGGGAGGCTGAGGCAGGAGAATCGCTTTAACCCAGGAGGCAGAGGTTGTAGTGAGCCAAGATTGCACCACTGCACTACAGCCTGGGTGACAGAGCAAGACTCTGTTTCAAAAGAAAAGTAAAAAATAACAAAATAATTTTTTTATAGAGATGATGTCTCCCTGCCTTGGGTAGGTTGGTCTCAAACTCCTGGGCTTAAGCCATCCTCTTGCCTTGGCCTCCCAAAGTGGTGGGACTACAGGCATGAGCCACTTGCCCAGCCTTCCCTAGTTTTTGATTAAACTTATACTTAAGACTTTAATATTTTTTCAAAGTAAATATTGCTCACAGCTGTTCCATGTAGTTTTATATTTCTTTTTTTTGTTTGTTTTTTTTTTGAGACGGAGTTTCGCTCTTGTTACCCAGGCTGGAGTGCAATGGCGCGATCTCGGCTCACCACAACCTCCACCTCCCGGGTTCAGGCAATTCTCCTGCCTCAGCCTCCCGAGTAGCTGGGATTACAGGCACAGGCCACCATGCCCAGCTAATTTTTTGTATTTTTAGTAAGACGGGGTTTCACCATGTTGACCAGGATGGTCTCGATCTCTTGACCTCGTGATCCACCTGCCTCGGCCTCCCAAAGTGCTGGGATTATATTTCTTTTCTCATATAACTTTTTGGTTTTCCTGGAGATAATGTTCTTGATTTTTTTCATTTGCTCACTTGTTTCTACATCTATCATTAGTTTATCTTTAAACATTACAGAAAAGAGAAAATTCTTGCTCTCTCTTATTTTTTTATTTTTATTAAGAGACAGGATCTTGCTGTGTCACCCAGGCGGGAGTCCAGTGGCACAGTCATAGTTCACTGCCTCACTGCAGGCTCAACCTCCTGGGCTCAAGAGGTCCTGCCACCTCGGCCTCCCAAGTAGTTAGGACTACAGGCAAGCATCACCCTGCCTGGCTACTTTTTTATTTTTTGTGGAGATGGGGTCTTGTTCTGTTGCCCAGGCTGATCTCGAACTCCTGGACTCAAGCGGTCCTGCCTGGGCCTCCCAGAGTGGTAGGATTACAGGAGTGAGCCACTGTACCTGGCCTAAAATGATCCAGTATACAAGGTGATCTAAGATTTTTTTTTTGCCCTAGAAGTGAGCCTCCCAAGGCCTCTGCCCTCCTGCTTTATTCTATACCAGATGCCCCCAGACCTGTTGTACAGCTGCCATCCTGGGATTTTCTTCCTCTGCATCCTGTGAAGTCCCCTCCACTTCCACTTGTAAAAGTTTGCTTCTTACTTTTAGTGCCTGGGGAAACATCATGGGGAAGACAGCTGTGTGTGGAGTACCTGGGATGCCTGGTGTTTTGGGTGCTTCACATAGGTTGTTCCCATTTAGCCAGGAGGGACACAGTGTCTGGGACCCTGAGGCTCTTTCTCCTGCTTTGGTAGAGGAGGGGATGGATATCGATTGTGAGCTTAGGTGTGGAATGAGAAAGGACACGGGGAGGGCAGGGAGGGGCAGGCGGCTTGGCTGGGGAGCCATGGTGTGTGCCCTGGCCCTTTACAGGAGAGGTTTTTTAGAGGTAGAGATGGGCTGGAAAATGTAAGTGTGCATGAGGCATCCAGCAAGGGGCAAGGGTGGAGGGCACTGCAGGCGTCTGGGAGGGCCTGTGGAGATGCCAGAACGAAGTAAATTAACAGACATCTGTAGAATTGAGCACCCCTGGGGACCAAGGGCTTTGAGTACTTGCTTTTTGGTGCTGTGTGTGTGTGTGTGTGTGTGTGTGTGTTAAAATGTAAATAACATTTTCCATTTTAACCAATTTTAGTTTTCTGTTTATAACTGATGACAT